AGGGCCAGTGTTCTTCCAAACTTATTTTGGGTGAAAGGATGTCTGGCTCTGAATCTGCTTCTGTGCAGGGCCCAGAACTCGCCAAAGCCAGGACCCTGCTCTGGAGGCATCACCATTCCCTGCCCACGCTCGGCTTCGGGTATTCTCCAATCAGCCCATGAGCAGCTCTTTGTACCCCGGGTCACTCCAGCTTCTGTGAAGAACTCCCTGATCCACATGTTGTCCTTGCAGACCGATAGGAGGACTTCCATCATCTCTAACCCTGCCAGTTCTAACATCTCATATTGCAGTCATCTAGGAAGACAGAGGTGCAGGGAAGCACAGGGAAGGAGAATATCAGTTATCAAGACCTGCTCTCTAAACCAGCATGCTAAGGGCGCTCCAAATATTACCTCATTTCATCTTCACATCATCCCTGTGAGGCAAGCATGATTATCTGTTTTTGAATGTGGATATTGAGATTCAACGTCACATAACTTGTAAGTGTTAGAGCTATTATTTCAATTCAGGTCTGTCTGACTCCAGAGGTTACCCTCTTCCTTCTGCAGACACGGTCCCAGCATCAGATGGTCACTCTTCCCTACCCGAGTGTAGCCAGCAGCATGGAGCTCTCTGAAACTGACCAAGACATGTGGATCTGCCTCACATGCTGGCCATACTTTGGTTTCCCTTCTGTCATTGGGGCGCTTCACGTGACTCTGCGGCAGCCTCTCACCCTCACTTCTGTGGGAGACTAGCTCTCCCCTCCCCTGCAGTCTCTCAGCTCCATCCAGATCTGGAAGGACTTCCCTACAGTCCTGCAAGCAGTAGCTGGGGATTCAGCCAAATTGCCCCTTTATAGGTCCATGTAGAAAGGCCAGACTTGGCTTCCAGGAGAGCCAACTTTGTTGGATGCAGCCTCAGGTGCCCTGCAGTTGAAAGCTGATTTTAAGAGAGAGCCGTGGGGACATGGTCTCTGTGTGTGTTGGGTCGGGTGGCCAGGGGTAGGGGGTTAGGGGCCCTGCGGCTTCCTGGTCTGACGTGGCACCCTGCAGAATCCTGCTCACTCCCTCTCTGGAGGAGAAATCCTTTGTCACCAAGCCTCCTCTCCCTGGCTGTCTTCAAATACTTGATCCTAAGAAGAAATACAGAAGGCAGGGTAGAGGGTCCTTGCTTCCGGGGCCCACCACAGACAGGGCATGGCCCTTAGACTCATTCTCTGCTGCCTGGATGGCTCAGACAACAGAAGCTGCGTCACAGGGTGTCTTTCTCTGTGTTTTTGCACTCTGCACACAGACGTCCCTCTTGAGCCACTCTGATTTTTAAGCGGGAGGTGAATGAGCAACATGTTCAAAGGCTCAGGGATTTTTAAAAGGCATGATGGAGAAAGGAACCCCTGATAGGGCAGGACATGAAGGATGTGCTATTGAATGGAAAGTGTGGCTGAAGGGGTAAAAGGGATCAGAACCACAAAGTCCACACCTGCCAAGCCAGCCTTAGGAATTACGGACTTTGCCTTGGCAATGGTCAGAGCCATGGAAGGTTTTTAGAGCAAGTGACTTGTAACCTGGTCAAGTAGTGGAGTATGTGTGCGTGAAGGTCACCCTGGCAGCTAACTGGAAAGTAGATTTACGTGCAGACCCTTGGGGTTAGTATGGGTAGGAGATGACGGAGTCCTGCTGAACACCTACTCCAGAGCGTGTGGACTCAAAAGACACCTGGGAGTGAGAAACGATAGGGCCTGGCGACCCTCTTTATTATTCCTGGTAGATGAGGGAAAGAAACAGTCGAAGGTGCTTGCAGAATTCCTGGCTGGGTACATGGTGAGTCCATTAACCTTGAAAGAGGATCTGGGAGGGTAATCGGCTTGGGGGTGGGAGGAGGGAAAATTAAGAGTTCATTTTTCGACATGGTGAAATTTGAGGTGCCTGAGGGACATACATGGGAAGTGGAGATGCCCAGTAGCAATTGGATATATGGCTATGGAGCTCAGGAGAGGGACCCGCGCCAACCGTATAGATTTGGAAGTCATCAGTAATGGAGGCCTTGGGAATGCACTTGCAAATCAAATAATCACCACTTCATCTGTGTTTTGGAAATTCGGACTTTTACAGGTCAGTTTTGCTTTCAGCAAGGAAGCTATAAGCTGTGTCCCTTGTAAGCCCCAGAGCTCAACACTTGCTTAGTTGTCCCCTGGACTCCCTTGTCACCTACTCGAGTGCTGGCAGCATAGTACACAGCACTGAAAGAAGACCCCATGAAGACCTCACACTCCCCAGGCACTTTCCAAGCCCTAGGGACCTGGTTTAGTGACCCACGAGGACACTGATTCTCCTGGCTTGGATTCCCCCTGCTGCTAGCTGGATCCACCCATCTCACCTGTCTCTTCGTGCCAAGATTATAATACTTGCTAATAATTTACTCAAAAAACAATCTTCTTCTCTAAACAATATAAGCTGAATTATGCTTCTGAGCAGCTCTGTGCTAACAAATAGACCCTACAGCACCCCAATGCCTATGACCATGTGTCTGCCACTGATCCTTGAATGTTGGAAGGGAAACACTGCATTGGTTTGCCAGCAGGAGGAAGCTACCCCGTGGAACCTGCCAATGCCGCTGAGGATCCACAATGCAGTCCCCACAGGCTACCTGCAAGACAGAAATATTTTTAGGTTTTCCAGAAAGATTTCATTTCACAGTTTTTCTGAAAGGTTGTAATTAGCTGCAGTGAGCAAAAGAATGTTTTTTAAGAAATAAAAGTAGGAGAAGGAAAGAGAACCAATCACTACTGCTTTGTCAGTTCTTTGGGTAGGTGGCTTCGTGCCTTCCAGTTGGCTGGGGGAGGGGATGGAGAGGCTGGTGAAGCTCATTCTAAGTGGCTCAAAAGAGAACCAGGAACTAAAAGCAAATTGTCTGCTACTTATGCTCCCCCGCAGCAGGTACGGAAGCAGCCCTTTCCATTTCTCATTAATAAGAGTCCATCTCCCAGAGCCCAGGAGTCCCAGGTCCCTGAGGAAACTGTGCCAGAGGAGACTGGGACAGCCAGGATGGATCATTGTTGGATATTTTTAGAGTACAGGGACAGAAGAGCTACAGGGGCTGTCAGTTCCTCACACCAGCTTCGTCTCCAAGTTGTCCTTCCTTCTCCCACCCTCAGCCCCAGCATACAAGACACCTCTGAGCCCACTTGATTCATTTCATGCCTGTTGTTTATTTTTATTCATAAGGAAGATATTTTATTCTCAGACAAGGGAGTCAGAGTCATACACAAGGGGACTTGGGTAAAATGAGTCTCCAGATAAGAGCGTTCAGGGCCTGGATGGCACAGAGGGAAGGAGGCAGCACCGTCTTTGGCCTACAGAGGATAGACAGGCAGGAGGTCTGAGTTCAAGAGTCGGCTCTGCAGCCAACTTACCAAGAGACTGGGAGTCTGAACAGCATATGAGCCAGCAGTGAGGGGAAGAAGTATCCTTTTCCTGCTCACTATCACTTGGCGCTTGGTGGCTGAATTGGCAGCATCATTCATGGTGCCCACATCACAGGAAGGGAGCAGTGCACTTGCCAAGAAGCCAGGAGGTAAGAAGGATCTCCAGAGCTCTCTACAGCAAGCTCACCTGTACTCATCCATCATCTGCACCCCAGGGCACACGACCCTGCCACCAGCACATACAGGGTCAAGAGGGAGACTGTCCAGAGTGTCCAAAAACAGAGAGGCTGTGGCTCTGCCCAGGTACCCTTTTCTGGGAGATTCTAGTGGACCCTCGATCTTCATCAAGTCCCCCACTTTTTTTTTTTGCTCCTTCCTTCTTCTGTCCTACCCTTCTTATAGTCTAGTGAAAAGAACCCTGGACCTTTTTATAACTGTGTATACAAGTTTTTCAAAGCTTTGGACATATCTCTGACTTCTCTGGGTCTCATTCACCTTGCTGTAAAAAGTAAGGATCTTAGAATAAGATACTCTGAGATCCCTTCCAGCTATGAAATTCTATGTTCCTCTGCTGTCTAGGATTGAGTTCACTTCTAATTATTTCTCCTGCTTCAGATAGCTATTGGCCACAAACTGTGAACTTAACTCATGGGGATCTGTTGGATCCCAAAGAGCTGCATTTTTCCAAGAGTCTGGTCTGTTCCCAGATAGAACTTTATTACATCTTGGGAGCCCTGTATTCTGCTATTCTGTTTCCAGCATTTGGGGGCTGAATTAGGGAATGAATAATTAGCAATCCTTGCTAACAGGAAGCCAGGAAAGATCTGGAGAATCCTAAAGTTATTTCTTCTTGGTCCTAACCTGTGTCACAGGATGTTTTTGCAGAACAATGTCAAATGCACTTTCCATCTTTGATCATTCCCCCTGCAGCCAAACCCAGTCTCTACTCCCTGCACTCCCACTACTTTCTCTCTGTATCTGTCTTATCCCTGGACACCCTGAATCAGGGCTATTCATGCACCTCCTTTATCTCAGCCCCCTTGACGCTAAGTTTCTTGAGGGCAAATTTCCTGTCGTATTCTTCATTGTACCCCTGACGGGCTCTAGCACACAGCAGTGGCAATAATAACACTGTCACAATTACAAAGCCCTCTGGTTTCCAAAATCTTCCCAAGCACACCTTCTATTTGGTGCTTCTAAGCTCCCTTCGAGGTTGGTAGAAATGATTATACATCTTTCATAACTAAGAATACTGAAGTCCAGAGACATATGTGACTGATTGTAATCAGGCAACTAGTGAATTAGAGACATGTCTCAAACAATGGTTTTCTGCCTTGAGTCTGGTATTTTTTCTGATAATTTTTTAAATAAGTAGATGAATGAATGAATGAATGAATGACGTAAAGAACCGAAGAGGCAGTGTAAAACAGAGCATGATGTCAAGATCTGAGATAAGCTAAAAAGTGGAGAAAACACACTTATGCGAACTCCTGGTGTCCATAGGTTCTGAAACCTCCCTGGGGGAGGGGGAAGGGTGTGGTTGTTTCTATTTCTGTGACCAACCCAAATTGCTAATCCCATTTCCCTCCTGCAGATTTTGACAGTGTCTGGACCGCCAGAAGGAGGGACGCGAGTGACCATCCATGGCGTGAACCTGGGTCTGGACTTCTCCGAGATCGCCCACCATGTGCAGGTGGCTGGGGTGCCCTGCACGCCCCTCCCAGGGGAATACATCATCGCTGAGCAGTGAGTCCGCCCTGGCCACCTCTTTTCCCATGGAAGCTTCAGAGTGGAGACTGGAGACTCTTACCTCTCCCTTCTCTGGGCCTTTTCCATGATTCATCTCCCATTACCTTCTCCTCCCATGGATCTGCCCCAGAAGCCTTCCCAGGACCCCCTCCTCCATTACCTCCACCCTCAGGGGGTCTCATTCTGCTTGATTCCCTGTTCCCTGGCTCTTCTGGCATCAGGGATCTGGCACCAACCGTTCTTCATTCTAGCCTTTGCCTGCCCACCAGCGTGACTGAGCGTTTCCTCCTAGGTCTCCCCCAGCCCTTCCCCTGCCAGCCCCCATTGGAATGCATCCCGCACGTTGGGCTGTGGGCAACAATTTGTTTGTTGCATGGGGCTCTGACAGCAGCTTAATCCAAGCAGGGCCTCCACCGGAGCAAATTCATTTATTTCACTAAGGGAAGTGTCAGCTGGAAATTAGAAAATAGGCATGTAGTGGCGGACAGGCGAACGGGGCTCCAGGAGTGACATATGTTCCAATTTGGGGTGTTCATTTGGCAGTGGTGGTTGCTGAGGCGTTGGTGGGCAGGAGGTGGACATGAAGCTGGGGATGGGAGGGTGGAAAAGGGATGCCACCCCTCTGAAGGAGAAAGCAAGGGAGCAGCCCAATCATTCTGCATGATTTATCAGGAAAGTTGGGTCAAGCCATTCTGATTCCACTGTGAACACAGCTCTGCAGGGGTACTAGGGGCATGAGCAAGAGTATGACTTTGGGGCATGGACTTCCTTCCCTTAGCCTCACCCCTCTGCCAGCTCAGGTCTTTTCCTCTGATCGCTCCCGCCCCAAGACAGCCTTTAGTGGCAACCATAAAAATGACATCGCTTTATCTTCCATCAGCACTTTGCAGTTAACAGAGCACTTTCTCATCTCATTTTTAATTGGTAAAGACTGAGAGGTAAATATTGTTATCGTCATTTTGCAAAGCAAGAGAGAGCAAAGGACTCAAGAGAAGTGAAATGACCTTCCCCGGTTCATTCAGGGCATAAGTGGCTGAGGTGGAATGACATTGAGTCCCCTCACCCCTAATGCAGGGTGACTTCCCTTCCATAACAGGAGTGGGGCACGACTCCTGGACAGGAGCAGTCTGAAATTCCGTGACTCGGTGTGTAGCTTTGAGGCTCAGAGGCCGTGACTCTCGCAAGGCCCAGAGAAGGGTCAGAGTCGAAAGGGGTGAGTTCCTGGACTCCGAGGGCTGTGTGATGCCCACCAGCCACAACAGGGGAAAAGAAAGAGCTGGTCTGGTCTCTCAGATCCTTCAGGTCTGATCCTTCAATGACAACCTTATTCCTGCAAGGAATGAGTCTTGGAGGAACGGCTGCCTGGCCCTGTAGGAAAGAGATGAGGAAGATGGAAAAAGGGAAAGGACACAAATGGTGCTTCTGAGCCAAAAAGCTGCTGTGGCAGGAGCCAGGACACCCACAGGGGTCCTCCTGGCAGACACACCGTCTTTACAGAGCCCCGCATCCTGCCAGACTGGGCAAGGTGCTCAGTCACGCAACCCCACATCCACCTCGACCTCACAGACCTCCTTGGGTCCCTAGACACAGGCCTGTATCCAAACTTGGTAAGATGCTACAGGAGTCCAAAGGAAAGGGCTAGGGTATGGGGTGAGGGTGGGAGGTAAGGCTTTCAGCTGAGAAGTGCAAATTCCTGGGCAACTGGCCCTCAGAATCTCGCGAGGTTTTGGACCTGCCTCCTCTGCTGACCAGCCCCAAGACTTTAGCAAGCTGTTCAGTCTCTCTGACCTTCATGAGCCTAATGTGCTGCCCAAATGTAAGGAATTTCAGTTCTGTGTATGAAATGAAATGTACTGCACTCACGCTGCACCCAGGGCCGTGGGGAAGAAAGTGTCAAGAGAAGCTGCAAATGAGGCTATGAAGGGAGCGTGGGGAGGGGAACGGTCCCGACGCATTCCTGCAGGGGGTGGTGGTCACCTAGAAAGCCACCACCTTAGGTACAGGGCAGGCAGGAAGCAGAGAGCACACCCTGCGCCTCGCTGGATGCAGCCCTGCTTTCCAGCCGTGCCAGGCTCACCACCACTCCCGAGGTTTCAGAGTTTGTTAACATCATTAAAGCCTCCATCCCGGGCAGTGAGCAGCAGGCACCATCGTTACAGATGTCTGTGAGAGATGAATTTGGCTAACAGGGCCCGGTGCAGAGTCCCCAGCGCGGGCAGGATTTGCCGGCACGGTAATGATTCACCATATGCTTGTGCCGTGCCATCTATCACTCAGCAATTAGGTTAATGTTGGTTAAAGGGCCCCACTTAGTCCTGCAATCAGCACCCCACAGGTCTGTGGAGGGCTGGATGACTCAGTCACAGGAAGTTTTTTGGACCATGGGATACAGGTTGAGGCTGCAGCTCTGCCCCTCCTGGGACAGGGGCTCCCCATGGAGCAGATTTCCCGAAGATCCTCAGGTCGCTCCCTCTCATCTGCTGTACCTGTGAACTTAGACACTACGGGATGGATGTGAGATGTGTGTGTGCTCCCACCCCAGGGAGCGAGTCTATGGGAGGTGGTGGTGTGTGGGACAAGCCACGGGGTTGTGTGCCAGGAGACTGGCAGTCAAGCCTTAACTCGGCTATGGATGAACCAGGTGACTTTGAGCAAGTCACTTTGCTCCCTGCTTCTCAAACATCTCATCTGGAAAATAGATATGTAGGAACAGCTGATCTCTACAGTTGCTTTGCCGGTGCTTTAGACATCCAAAGCAGGAAACTGTTCGACCCTTGGAATCTGCAGCTCCCGTTATAAAGATTATCCATGGCACTAATGTGCCTCCGGAAGCCCTTTGCCACCAGGAGGGTCAGGTCTTCAGACGTCAAAGCTGGACAGTTGTTTGGTCCAACTTCCCATTTTATAAGGAATCACATCTCCAGCTATTGTCTCCTCATAATACACAGGGACCCCTGAGCCGCCAGGGACACAGGGAGGAGACAGGGCAGGCAAGAGGCCTCAAGAAATCAAACCACAAGGAATCAACCAACTTTGCTGACTTGCAAGGCTTGGAGGAGGTGGTGGTGTGCACACCACTGCCTGTGGTTGTCTGCAGCCAAGAAGGTCGAGGGGAGAAGTGATTAGCTCTCCGAACCTGAGGAACCCAGCTCAGCCTTTCTCACCATACCCTGCCGATAACCTGACCTCCACCATTGCTGCCATGTCCATACTGTCCCTTCCTTGAAAGATGCACAGAGCATCCCATTAAGTCGAGTGTCAGTAGAGGGGTGTGGTGAGAAGCGTGAGGTCTGGAGCTGAGCTGGCCTGGATTTGAATCAGGGCTCTGCCCCTTAACCGCAGTTGGGGCCCCCTGCAACAAGTCACTTAGCATCTCTGAGCCTCAGTTTCATAGTCTGTACGATGGAGATAAGACCCGCTCTGTAGCAGAGCCTGAGGATGGCATGAGATCCTTTCTTGTAGAGTGCCTGCCAGAATCAGCAAACTGTAGTCCTTCTTATTATTAAGGTCTAGAATCCCCTGCTTTGGCATAATGCTCCTTCCTCAGTGTAACCCTTTCCAATCCCTGCAGCTGCCCTGGTGTCTTCCTTTAACTCTCTATCTCCCTGAACTCAAAGGACAAGTGCCTGCGACAAATACATTCAAGCCCTTTCCACCCTTCCCTGCAGGCACGGGGTCCCAGGAATGAAAGGGAAGAGGAGTTAGAGGTGGTTGGAGTTTGCCTGCAATGCTGCCTGATTTTCTTAGGACTCTCCTGTTCTTAGATCTCCCTGCCCACACCCTTTTCTCCAACCCACAGCTGACCACAGCCCTCTGCCCACTTTTTCCAGAGCTGAGAAGGGGGTTCAGCTGATGGCCAAGGAAAGGGCCCCATGGCCAGCTCTGATTTCTCTCCAGCCCAGCCCCTGGACATTCAGAGCCACCTACGTGTGCCCCTCCTTGGACACTTGGGTGGCATCCATCTCTCATTCATCACTCTTCTCCTAGGTGCTTGACATGCACCACTTTTCTTTTGAAGCATGAGCCCCTAGCAGGAAAATGTCCTAGAAGAGGCAGTGTGCCCAGAGGCTGTGGCCCATCATGAACGCCACACAGGGGCAGCTGACCAGGGCAGCTCCGGGCCTTCTCCTTTCCTGCACAGACCCAGGGCCCAGAGAAGGACATTTCCACGCTGCCCATGACTTTCACGTGTTCTCATATTTCTTTCTTCCTTAACTTCAAGCCTGTGATGATTTCTTCCTCCTTTTCTTCTCTAAGATCACTCCAGCAGAGTGTCTAAGGGTGATGTGTGAGTAACACACAAACCCTCATTAGAAGAGAGGGAGAGAAACTTTCCTGCTCCCTCCTGCTCTCTTCCCTCCTCTCCCCCGACACTGCCCACAATAGCCAGTTGATTCTCCTCTGGAGCTCCTTGAGCGTGCTGGGCATCGTTTGCAGGGTGTCAGGGACCTGAACCAGCAGCAGGTTGCCAGGGCCCAGGCAACAAGACGGAAGAGGCGTTAACTCCATGCAGGTAGCAGTATGAAGATAACCACACAGTGCCTTAAATGGAGCTTCTCAAACGCTCCCCTAATGGGGTTTCAGGAGACAGTTACGTGTAAAATATTAATTGATCATCACTATCATGTTTACTCGGGTTCATAATTAATTGATTGATTCATAGAGAAAGGGGAAGAGAGACTATTCTTCCCTTTCAGTACTTTCTTGTTGCATCTAATATGCTAAACATAATAAGACAGTTATTGCATGTTAAGTAAATATTCTCCAGGAGTGAAAGTAGTTATTTGGGATTAACTGTTATGAAGGAGATGGAGATCAGTGGCGTGCCGTGTGTGTGAGCATGCAGCGTATTTGTTTAATGCAAGTTTTATTACATCGAAATGAAATCTCTGTTTAGTTACCTTCCTTCTTAGAGAAGCTGTTGAGATAAGCATCGCTCGGTTAAACACAGATCTTCCCCACCGTGCCAGGATAATGCTGGGGATTAGTGGAGATGGGGTCTACTTTTCTGACTCCCCACTAAGCAAACCTACCAGGAGCACCAGACTGCTCTGAGCCTCTGAAGCGATAATGGGAGGAAGGGAAAAATCCTGCCCTCGTTCCCAAGCTTTTTCTCGCTGAGCTGGCAGGGCGCTATCCCACCCAGCTCAGGCCTGACCATTCCAGGCAAGAGATTCCCCAAGCCCCTGATTCCTTCATCTCTCCCCATCCTCAGCTGCCCACCCTTTCTAGAAGGCTACCGTGGCTAAGGCAACCCATATCTCAGTGTGCTTGTATAAGTGTTCTCTCGGGCACCGGAGAAGTCAGCACCAGGGGTATTGATCTGCACTGCTCAAGAGAGAGCGCTGCACACCTCATCCCTCCAGCTCTCCTGTGAGTGAGACGTGACTTTCACTCAGGGCCGTGCCACTGCCTCTCCCACCTGGTGTTCTCGGCCTTTGATGAAGTGAGAGGCCAGTGTCACCTGCTGGCCTAATGAACTCGTCCAGTTCCCACCCCTTTGCCTACTGCCACAGGACTCCACCCCTCCCATTCTGCAGGGAGCTCCTTCTTTGAACTCTCACTATCTCTCCAGATTATCTGTCCCCTTTTAAAAACTCACTACAGGAAGCAAACCACAATTGAATCTGCTTGGCAAACAGGCCCTCACTCCCTCCTTTAGAGAGTGTAGCAACGTCGGCTTGTTACAGGAGAGAGCGTCAGCTAGCTTGCTGCCCCTAGAGCTCTCTCTGTTGGACATTCCCTTTATTCCACAAATTCTGAGTTCCTACTCAATGCAAGGCACTGTGCTAAGCATAGGGAATAACAGGTTTGGCCACAGGTTAGGCAGCAGAGCATATCAGAGGCACACAGCACTTTAGAGATCATCCCATCTAATCTTCGCACTACAGATGAGACCAAAGCCCAGAGAGGGAAAGCACTGTACCCAAGGTCACACAGCACGATGGATGACCAAGCTGAGTCTTGGTCTAGCATTATTGCAAGACTGTGATAAGTCATTTGCCATGACTGGGAGAGTAAGCGGGCAGGGATGCCAACCCTTGCCCAGCCCCTCATCAGAAGGTTTGCTTTCTCCCCAGGATTGTCTGTGAGATGGGCCATGCCCTTGTGGGAACCACCTCCGGGCCTGTGCACCTGTGTATTGGCGAGTGTAAGCCAGAGTTTATGACCAAGTCCCATCAGCAGTACACCTTTGTGGTGAGTACTGGGTCCAGGGCTGGGTTCAGGTGCCCAGGGAGGGCACACACATGCTCCAGACTCCTCCTAGGAAGGCCCCACTCCCCTCCACCACCAGGCTTCTTGCAGACCAAGGAGGAGAAAAGGGACCCCCCAGAAAGGCAGCTCCTGGCCTTGCTGCTTTGGAGCCTGTCTTTCTAGGGTGAGATGGGCATGCGATTAACAAAGCTGTGACCTGGGAGTTCCAGAGGGCCACAGGCCAGAGTTCTAAATAAGGCAAAATCCAGCCTTTCTTAGAAGGTGGATCCTAGACTGGGGGCACGGAGGGATTGCCTCTGGTCCCACCAATGTAATATATTAGTCCAATTCTAGCCTAATGAGGACGCATAGCCTAAGGGACCTAATTAAGTAAGTCCATATTTATTCACATGCTTAGTTTTCTGCCAAGGATATTTTAAGTGGGAGTTTAGACGAGTCACTGAAATCTGGCAGGGATGTGTGTCTGCACGCAGAACCACCAGAGTCACTCTGTATGCTCCCATAGTTACACGCACACATTCACACGCTCACACCTGAAAACATCCCTTATGCACAGGCAACAGGCAGTCGAATTGCAAAGGCTTCCTTTCTGTAAAACTGGCACTCTATGCATGCCAAATCAATAACTTGCTTCTGGGGCCCTGCAGCCCGCCTGGGCTATATTCACACTGAATCAATAACCTGACTTCTTTGCCCCCTGCCCTGCCCCCGAAGTCTCTTTTCTGACACTTACCTCCATTGCTACATTGAGTACTTCATTAAAAGGCATTAACACTAGCAGATGGGGTCAAACCAGCCTTGCTGAGCGTTTTAAAAAATCTTTAGGGCACACAATTGTATTCTCTGTAAAGCATTTTACTGCTTGTTTCCGGTTTTCTAGCCTCTGCTTTCTTATCTCGGCATCTCCACCTTTTTCTTACACTGTCCTCTTTCAGATTGGAGAGTACCTTGCCCTGTCCGCAGCCAGCCAACTAATCTCTTACCCAGGGCAGGGACAGTGGGCGTTTGTGTGAGAAGCAAACGCAGGAGAACTAGCAGGGGAGAATGTCAGTACTCTGACCATCTGGAGAAAGTCAGAGCTGAGAGGGACTTTAAAGGTAACCTAGCCCACCCTTCTCACTTGACAGAGGAATAAAGAATGATTTCAAAACTTGCCTCAGGACTCACAGCGAATGAATGGCTGATGCAAACTAGAATTCGTTTCTGTATAGTTGCTCAGTTAAATGCATTTTCCGATTCACTCCCACTCCACTGTCCTCCAGGCAGAAGCAATTCCTTTCTGATTTAGGTCAGCTGCCTGATGCCTTTTAGGTTTTTAAGCTTCAGGCTAAATTTTACTACTTAGTAAGCTTACTAGAAAGCCCCAGCCAGTGATGTGCCGTCCTCCCGATGAGAGTGTGAGAAGCCATCCTGACATTTACTGACAGCTCTCTGAACCAGGTGGCCTGCTGTGCCCTTCTTATGCTTAGGGAAGGACAGAAGGACATGTGCATGGGCCATTAATGGAGGACATTAACCTCTCAGTGGTCCAACCCAGGCAGGGATGCTTTATTCAGCCCTATCGATTTTGTGCCCAAAAAATCAGTACTGGCTCTAGATAGAGAAGCATTTTCAAATTGTTCTCAATTTGTAAACTAATTGATAGATTAGTCAGTGTCACCTCTGCTTTCCCTTCATTGTTATGAGCATGCGACTCTCTGGGGAGTTAATTAATTTCAGCACGTGGCTCTTTTGCCTTCCCGGACATGCCCAGAGATTCTTCTTAGAAAGGGTCTCACCTCTGGGGTAAGCAGAGAGAGCATTCAGCATTGAAAAGGACAGGTAAAGTACCACCATGCCCAGAATGAAGACAGTCTCTCCCATCCTTGAATCTAACCCTGGTTCATCCCTCCGGACAAAACCTAAGCTGTCGTCATTTATCTGCTTCTTTCCAAAGAACCCTTCTGTGCTGTCACTCAGCCCAATCCGAGGTCCCGAGTCAGGAGGCACCATGGTGACCATCACCGGCCATTACCTTGGGGCTGGGAGCAGCGTGGCAGTTTACCTGGGCAACCAGACCTGTGAGTTCTATGGGTAAGATGAACCTGAAGGCCCAGCAGAAAACGGCACATCTGGGACACTTGCTGTACACATATTACTGTGCATGTTCATTCAGAGCCCTGCCCCATCATCTTTCTGTTATTTGCTACACCTAGACCCAATACCATACCAGTCACTGTGAGAACTATATCCCACTTGTTAGTGTATATCTCATATATCAAAGAGGCTGGATACTTCTAAAAATAATGAGAAGTGAGGGCTATGAGAATGCCAGAGGAAGGAGCTCCTAGGAGCTCCCCAGTCACCATTAGGATCAAGCATTCGTTAAGTCCTCACTATGGTGACTTGAAAAACATGGAGATTGCATAGCCTCAGTTCTTAGAAAGCACAGACTTATGCTCAGGGCATCCTTTGAGCATAGAAAATTGAACACTACCTTTTGCCAGCTGTCCCCTAGCCCTGAAGCTGTAGGGAATTCTGAAAGAATCCATGGACGAGAACCCTGCTTGCCCAGCGTTATCTGCCTGACACTCTCCTTCTTGGACCATAAATTTCACAGCAGCAAGGACTGTGCGTTCACTGCTGTGTACAGTAGGTGCTCAGTGAATGTCTGTTGACTGCCTGCCCAAATTCTAAGCACTGGCTAGTCATATTCTAGAAAAATCCAGAAAAGGAGCATTCCCCCAAAGCCCATGAAGCCCTATGCCTGACCTTCATTTTCAAACCCCCTTCTCCAATTTGCTACCTCCCTAATCCACTGGGTAAAAAGAGGGCACTGATCTACACTGATGTGGGATGTGTCCCATCGTGTAGAATGTAAAAGGACAGGAGAACACTCCTGTGGCCATACCCCCAGACCGCACAAAGCCCCTTGTCAAGCCAGTGGGCACCTCCCGTTGCCCATGCCATCCTTCTCAACCCTCCTGCTGTCTCCCTGTCAGGAGGTCAATGAGTGAGATTGTGTGTGTCTCGCCCCCATCATCCAATGGCCTTGGCCCAGTCCCTGTTTCTGTGAGTGTCGACCGAGCTCGTGTGGATAACAGCCTACAGTTTGAGTACATAGATGACCCTCGGGTCCAGCGCATCGAGCCGGAGTGGAGCATTGCCAGGTGAGGCGGGAGGTGGGAGGGAGGCACCTGGTCACCACCCACCATGATCCTTGCAGCCCAAGTCTGGCTCGTGAGAAGGATCCCTAAGGTGGAGGTTCGCCATGCCAGATTTGAGGGGTTTTTACCTAACCCAGCCTCCGCCTGTTTCCAGTGGCCACACACCCCTGACCATCACAGGCTTCAACCTGGATGTCATTCAGGAGCCAAGGATCCGAGTCAAATTCAACGGCAAAGAATCTGTCAATGTGAGTAACTGTTGGTCCACCCCAGCCTTTGGTAAACATAGCTCTGTGTCAGTGTTTTGCAATGTGATGGGCTCTGGTTAGCCGCTGGAGCCTCTGAATACTGGAGAGGAAAGCTGGCTTAAGACTCTGAGCCTGGAATCATGGTCCAAATACCTGAACCCGACAATTTATTTTTTAAGACAGGGCCTCACCCTGTTGCCCAGGCTGGAGTGCAGTGGTGTAGCCACAGCTCACTGTAGCCTTGACCTCCTGGGCTTAAGCGATCCTCCTGCCTCAACCTCCTGAGTAGCTGGGACCACAGGTGCATGTTTGCCTAGTTTTTTCTCATTATTATTATTTTAGAGACAAGCTCTCTCTATTTTGCCCAGGCTGATTTCAAACTCCTGGGCTCGAGTGATCCTCCTGCCTTGGCCTCCCAAAGTGCTGGGGTTATAGGCATGGGCCACCATCTTCAGCCTTACAATGATTTTTATATTATAATTACAGTATAATTTCTCGTCAAAAAGTCCTATAGTGAGTGTAACAAAGCACTGGCTTCTGAGCTTATGAAACAGCACAAAAGGACTCCTGTTTTATGACATGTTGACTTTGAGGTCCAATGAAAATCCATATTGAGAGTGGTTGGAGAAATTCTGGCTCCAGATTCAGACACGTCTGGAGTGGAAGCAGGGCTCTGCCATCTATTAGCGGTACAAGCATGGTCAAGTCATTTAACCTCCAGATCCTCCGCCCCTCAGCTATGAATCCTGCCCTCGCTTCGTAACCTGCCAGCCCGCGGCTGGCACGAGGTTGGCAGTTGATAAATGCTAGTCGCTGCATCAGATAACTCCACCCTGGTTGCTAAGATGATCAGTTTGGACATTTTATATTAGTCTTCCCTGCAGAGCTATGTAATTTTTAAAAGTTGTCTGTATCATAGGATAGAATGCCCAATATGTTGAAAATTTTTTTTGTTTTTCTGGGCTTCATCTCAGTCAATATTTTTTGAAACATGATTGTATTCATAATTACATTCCAGCAGATGTACTATGCCCATTATTTTTCATAGAAATTACGATTATTACTGCTTTGACCTTCAGAGGCTTAGCTAGGCTAAGATGGAGATGGAGAAGATGGTGTTGTGTCTCCCCTCTTACCCCAGACATATTTCCAGGGTATTTGAGGCTTCCGTAAGAAACGCGGAGATACATAAAATGACAGATTGCTAGAAAGTTCGCTGTGGAAAGGTCTCAGGCATCATCTGATGCAACCCCTTCGCTGTATAGCAGAGGAAACTGAGGCCAGAACGGTTCAGTGACTTGCCCCCAATCATAAAGGGGAGTGGTGGCAGGGCCAAGGTGGATCTCAAACATCCAGACTGTTTATAACTAGGCCGCATGAAATGCTGGTGGGCTTGACATTACTATCCTGCTGGAGATGTGGGGCACTTGTACCATACCTTCAGTACCCACCACACTCACTCCTTTTTGGGCTGGGTGGATGCATGCCTCCTGCCGCCAGGTGCAGAGCTTGATCCATGAGTAAAAAGGCCTAGGCCCCACTCCATTTCCAGACTGAAGCTCAGGGTCCCCAGAAGCTCACAGGTCACTCCAGGGCCTAGGGTGAGGTTTGGAAATGAGAATGGTAAGCTCACATCCAGGAAGAATTTAAAAAAAAAAAAAAAAAAAACAAGCAAATTAGGTGCATGTTTTTAAATGTAGGTTTTATCATTATTCTGGTATGGCAAGGCCAGAGTATAATTTGTTCTACTCATAGATCAGATCCCAAGAGAAGAGGGCAGGCCATGCCCAGGGGCCACAGGGGGAGGCACCAGGGTTAGGGAGGGAGGGGGAGAAACCTTGGCAAGAGTCTTTCTGTGGTTTCTGCAGGAAGGAACAGGCACAGCAGGGTAAGCAAGTTTAGGATCAGCTGATTTGAGTCATTTCAGCAGGCTCTGAGGCCCAGGGGCTGTCCCTAGATGTTTGGTGCCTGGTCCTGGGCTGATTAGGGCACGAGGTTGGTATGGAAAGGGGCAGCTGGGCTGTAGGGTCTGGATCAGTTTGTGAATATGAAAGGCATGCTCACAGGCAAGTTATTTGCCATCTCTAGGATTTTGCCCATCAGCAAGGCCCCAGATGTCAAAGCATCAGCATACAGAAAATAAAAGACATAATTAATACAGTACAGAGAAAATTTTGGAGAGTGAGTATGTGACCTCCAAAGGCTTCAGCCTTAGTCCTCAGGAAGCCATTGAAGAGAAGCCTGGGCTGGGATGCCCCTTTCCTTCCCCACACCTGACACCTGTGGGCGAAGGCTCAGATCCCAAGCCCCTGCCCCCTCACTGGGACTCATCTTCAGCCCTGGGCAGGAATCTTCTCAGTGCTTCCTCCAGCCCGGGGCACCACAATCTCAATGTTCCAAGTACTTAAGAAGCAGCTCTGCCCTCTGCAGAGCTGGGGGTGCTCAGCTTCAGTGGTGACCTGCCTGGCATCTACAGGCTGGCAGAGCCAGACGGAAGGATGGAGGAATGCAGTTTTCCATCAGCTGGCTCCAGAATGGGAGGCTCAGAAGCCCTGCCCCATGCCTCCACTTTTGGGAATGGTAGGGGAGAGGCACTTTGCCCCTGAAGCCCTGCTTGGTTGGGCCCCATCTCATCCTCGGCACACCTAGGCCTACCCCTGTCTTGGGGTTTCGAAGACACCCCAGTGGATAGCAAGGAGGGTCAGAGTGAAGCCGCCAAACCCAGAGGAATGTTTGGCAAACAAAGTGCCGATGCAGCATGGGGCAGGAAGCCTCTTGCTTGGGAGTGATTTGCTTATTCATAGAGGGGCCTGGTCTAGGGAAGCTAGAGTGGGACCAGCAGAGAGGAAGGGGGTCGGGGTGAGGCTCATAGAGGCTAGGGGTCTTCCTTGCAGAACCCAGCGATTGGGACCCCCTGGCTCAGCTGTACCCATTTCACCACACCCCTTCACCTCCCCATGCCTCATTGTACCCTGCTGGAACTTGAAAGGGACATTCGGTTCATAAGGGGCTGCTGAATTCCACCACAAAAAGGGCAGGAATGTGTACTCACGCCCACTACAGCATGAAGGCTACAGTGAGGCATTCTGTTAAACTCTTAAATTCCCTCTGGAAAGGAAGGGTTAAGACGGACTTGAAGCTCTAACCTAATCTCTAGACATAATCTCTATGCAAGTGTCAGCCTTTTTTGCAATTTCACACACAGTCTTGTTTTCTGAACATGAAGCTCATGTGTGTGTGTGTTGGCCAGACGCACAACATGTGTGGACCCACCAGGACAGCATGCGCTTGAACAGACTGGAGTTCTCAGAGATACCCTGGCTGTTGCTGGGACACCACGGCTTCCAAAGCTGAAACCGAGGCCAGGCAGAGAGGGAGGAGGAGTGGGTTTTCTTCCCAAGCCCCACGTGAGCCCTTTAGTTGTTTCTGCAGTCTGGCTGCTGTTTTGGGCAGCCCCAGAACTAAACCTCCACAGGACAGAATGGCACAGCTCATGCTAAGGAGGGACTGAACCAGCCAAGCCAGGATTTTAGTTGCCATCAGAGTCTTCCAAGAGAAAAAGATATCATGAACTCTGTCAAACCAAGCTTCTGTCCCAGTGCAGTGTTAGGGGGCACTTGGTTAGAGAAGAGAGAGGGGTCCTGAATAAAACATTTAAAGAGGGCTGGGCACGGTGGCTGACACCTGTAATCCCAGCACTTTGGGAGGCCGAGGTGGGAGGATCACCTGAGGTCAAGAGTTCAAGACCAGCCTGGCCAACATGGTAAAACCCTGTTAAAAATGCAAAAATTAGCTGGGCGTGGTGGCACATGCCTGTAATCCCAGCTACCCAGGAGGCTGAGGCAGGAGAATCGCTAGAACCCGGGAGGTGGCGGCTGCAGTGAGCCAAGGCCATGCCACTGCACTCCAGCCTGGGGGACAGAGTGAGACTTCACCTCAAAAAAAAAAAAAAAAATTTAGAGAGTTGCAGAATCCCATTTTTCATCAATATTTTCAATCAACATTAACTGAACACCGACTATATACTGGGCAGAGTGCTCATCTCGTACCACTTCCTGCTCTTCACGCTACACAACACACACACACACACACACACACACACACACACACACACACACACACACACAC